TAATGCAATGACAGTGGCAGAGAATCTCTGAGCAGGAAAGTACCTAAGAGTTAATCTAGACCAGTCCTCTTATTTTACACATGAAGGAACTGAGATGCACCAGTGTATCACATTCTGTGGAAAGCTGACCCAGAGCACTCTTGCTTCTCATTTTATTATTCTCTTCTCACTTGTACCTCTTCATTTAATGGTCATCTCCTCTGTGAAGCTATTAGCACATGGAAGGGCAGGGACATTGTCAGTCAAGTTCACTGCATTCTACTGCTCATCTCAGTACTTTCTAGTGGTGTTGAGGGAAAGGGTGAAGAAATTTCTCCAAGTTAACCAGGCGGTGGTTGTAGGGGCAAGTCTAAATTAGAATGAAGTCAGATTTAAGCCCTACATCGATTTAAAAGTAATGAAACAACCAAAAATTTATTTGTAAAGTTATAAAATCTCTTGTGTAAAATATATACATGGCAAAACAATGCCTAAATTAAGGCTAAAAAGAAATTTAAAATAGTAAAATAATAAACCCAGAGACCAAGAGGAAACTATTATATATAAATAATAGTATAATGTTTCCCCAATATATTAAAGTATTTTGGAAAACATTAAAGTCATGATTAACTTTGAGTTGGATTTTATTAGAGAAATTGCATTTTGTGTGTTTGGTTTTTGAATATTACAGTGAAGAGAAAGAACAAGACAGTAAAGTTCCACATGTTGTTTGGCATAATGACAAATATAAGGTATTCAAAAAGTTAGGGACAATAGGAAGCAGAAGAAAGCACACACACACACACACACAATGTTCTTTGTACTTGCTATGCACAAAGAAACTGTACTACGTTTTTTGCTACATACTGTCTTGTTTATTCTTCATGGCAGAAATAACAAAAAAATTCTGAAAATTCTTATAGAAGGATGTCTTTAGATAGATAACTTGTATAACTTTATTACTAGTTATATAGGAAAAAGTTTCTATTACTAATGGAAGCAAAGATTATGTTCAGTAACTAAGGTCAGCATTAGCATCAAATGAGAAGAAATAGATGAATCATTTTTAGAACTCAACAAAAGAGTCTGAATTTTTAATCAGTTATTAAAATTTTAAGTACATTATCACAATGTAAATTAAAATATTTATTTACAGATGGGTCTTAGCTTGGCTGCCATAACAAACCACTATAGACTGGGCAGCTTAAACAATAGACATTTCTCACAGTTCTGGGGATTGAATAGTCCATGCTGCCATATTTGGTTCTCAGGGCACTCTTGCGAGCTTGCACACGGCCACCTTGTTGCTGTGTTCTCACACAGTAGGGAGAGGAAGCTCTGGTCTCTCTTCTCCTTTTTATGAGGGTATTAATGTTCTCATAAGGGTTTGCCCTTATGATTTCTTCTAGACCTAGTTAGCTCCCACAGCCCCAACACCTAATATTATCACATTGTGATTTACAGCTTCGGTGTATGAATTTTGTGAAAGATAAATTTATAATAGATGGTATATTTATTCTATACTTGGAGCTGACCCATGTATGAAATAATCATCGTATCTATTACTTCTTTTGAGTCTCTCATCTACTTTGGGAGAATACCATATAAAAAGTGATATACCTTACTGTATCAGAGGGAAAGTATTAATATCTTGCAAATTTAAGAAATTAAATTGCATTGAAAATGCAAGCAGTCTCTTTAGAGGCATCATAACCTCTCTAGCACATGTTTTACTTCTCCTAGAACTGTATCGAGGAAAAAGTTTTCATTTAGTTATAGTAGTCATATTTTCATTTATCTTTAAGCTACTCAAAATAGTCAAATGTACACGTTTATACAATTGAGACAGTAAAAAAAAATATATTGCCATTAGAACAAAGAGTTATTGTTTAAAACTTTGCAAATTTGTGTAAATATGTATTTTTTCTCTTTTAATTGCAAGTACTTTCACTGGTCTACTGAGTATAAGTAATCAAATACACTATTTCAAAGGACAACATGCTAAGGTTCCTAGCATGTAATTTAGAAGCAATTCAGGATTTTTGTTTAACTTTATAAATGTTACATCTTTGTAAGTGTAAATTTAGTATCTTGTTTCTTAAATTTAGTATATTGTTCCCTTCTGGGAGATGGTGACATTTTAGTGTATAATGTATCATTTTAATATGCTGCATCAATCTAAAATGTGTTCAACAATTCTTCCATCTCACAGGAAAATTTGTTCTAAATTTTTTTTAGAGCTTTTAATTCAGCTCTCTTTGAATTATACCTTGCAAAAGTAAAAGAGAAGGGGAAGGGGAGAGAGAGACAGACTGGGAGAGTTAAAGAGACAGAAAGAAAGTGTCTATATGCAGAGAAAATTTAAGTGGGAATACAGTGTCCTCTGTTGGAATTGCTAGTACCGAATATCGGTTTTTACTAATTAGTCCACAATATGTTTTTGTTAAAAGTAACATATATGGCAACAGAGTGACTTCATTATGCTAACAACACCATACTGTCTCTCAAGTTGATTTTTTTAAACTACTTTATTAAATTACGATTGAAATACAAACAGCCATATATATTTACTATAATATAGCTTGATGTTTTGGAGAAAAGCATAAACCTGTGAAACCATCACCAGAATCAAGGCCATAGCTTATCCGTCACCTCTAAAAGTTTTCTCCCACCACCTTAATTCTTTAATTAAATTATTTTTCTTTTATGCAAATAGAACTTAACATGTCACTTCTCAAGCTGATTTCTAACAGTAAATGAGCTCAACCATCAACTCCTTTAGTTGATTTGCCTCTATTGCCAAGAGGAATTTGGAATTCTTTGGAATTTGGAATTCTTTGAATTTGGAATTCTTTCTCCCTCTTGTTTAGTTGAGCTTTCTACCCATTGTCAAGGAGAGGG